ACTCGGACTCTATTCGGCATCATTTGGGAGGCCTCTACGTGCGTAATTACCCTTCGGGGAGGTGAGATCTTGAACCAGGGATAGCTATACCACATCCTTGGTCAACGACCAGCCTAACCTGCTCTAATCCCGCTGTAATCCGGCTTGTCCCGTTTAGTCCTCCTCCATCTGGCTTAATCCGGCTCTGGCCTAATCTGGCTCAGTGGCCTGTCAATCGGGCTCAATGGCCCTTGGAGTTGTTTTGGCGAAGACCTCCCAGAAGTTGCCTCCTGACCCCTGTAGTTATCCCTACGGAGCTATCCGACACCCCCGCCGGGGTTCGCTCGCCTGCAGACACCCCTCAGATTCCGAAGCCCTGCCGGTTTCCCAGAAGCCTGACCTGCAGGCGTAGGCTTCACGTATTGTTGCCTAGAGGGTACTTCGGAATACTGGGTGTGCGCGAGCTTACTCGGGGCTGCTCAAAGCGAAAAAGTACGACCCGGGCTTGCACCGCGCAAATTCCAAACTGCCTCCTATACCCATCGGCCCCCCGAGGGCGCCCGGCGCCCTGGGGGCGCCGCCCGAGGCATGCTCGGGGCTGTGGAGACGGCCCTGGGACTGCCTCGCGGGGGAGGGGACCCCTGCAGCTGCCTCTATGGGAGGGCTGGCGCCTCCCGTGCGTGCGCCGCCCGCGCCCCGTGCGTGGCGCTCGCAGGGAGGCCCAGCGCCTCCCCCTGAGACCGAGGCACCCTGCAGCACCGAGCGCGCTCCACGACTCGCAAAGTGCGTACTCGCAGAGGCTCGAAAAGCACATGCCTGCATTGATGCGACTCATCGCAGATCCCCCGCGGCGGATCCGGGCCATGTGCGAGTAGAGGCACTGCGAGCAGTGGAATATACGCGCTCGTCTACACCTGCAGAGGGGCCCGAGGGGCCCGAGGCGGGACACCCCGGGGCCAGGCCCTGGCGTGCGCCGTGGCTGGAGTCAGGAACCCCCCCATCGACGTCTCGCTGGGGGGGCCGGCCGCCCTGTAGGGGAGAGGCGTGTTCGAAGGAGACAAGCCACAATCCGTGGATGATTTTCGCTGAGGAGATGGACCAGGAGCCCGGGAGCTCGGGAGCCCGGGAGCCCGGGAGCCCAGCCACCGAAATCGGCCCGGAAAACTCTAGTAATCGGGAACCCGCGGGAACCCAGAACCGGGAACCCGGGAACCCAGCCTGCTAACCAAATCGGCGGGAATCTTTCGGCGAATCTTTCAACTTGGACCCCTTCAGTGCAAGCACTGATTGGGGAACTTTTGGCGCTCCGCGCGGATTTCTCGGATCTGCGCTGGGCCCCCCTGGCGCGCTCCGCGCGGCAGGGAGAGGGATCCAGCGCAGGTCCAAGAAGTCCGCGCGGACCAGAAAGAGCTTCTGTTCATGCAGTGTTCTGCCCTTCTCTGTGCATCAGGCAGGCTGGGGATGAGGCTGCACCGCTCCATAGGGCGTTTCGGATCGCTCTGGAAGGGGGCCGCGGGGCGCGACGCCTCCTCCGCGGACCCGCGGGCGCTCATGAGATCCCGAGCCATCCGAGCCCGCTTTGTGCTCATCACAGCCTCGTCTTGCCTCCCAGCTTTTGCTTCTCTCTCTGCCTTCGGGGGCCCTCCCCGTCGCCGAGGCTGGGCGCGGCTGGAGAAGCTTGCCAGGGTGGTGTGCAGGGAGTCGAGAGGGCCGATGCTGACAGTTTCCGGCGAGAGACAAACAGGTAGAGCGTTCCCCAAAAGGGCCTCGCTTTCGAGGAATTTCAAAGTTCAAGGTAAGATAAGGACGGGTCCGCTTGCGGACGCGGACAGAGGCTAGAGTTTCGCACAACCTCGCTTCATTTGGCCAGGGTTCATGGTCAGGTTTGGGGTGTCCCCAACTCTGCCTCACATAGCTTCCTGTAAGATTGACCCCTGGTCCCTAGGGCCATCATCATGATGCTCCCGTTTCGTTCTCGGGCCAAGGTGTTTGTGGCCAGCTGCAGTTTACCTTTGGTCCGTCACACTGCGCTAACTGGATAACGTCCCACGGATGACGAAGTTGCACCCTACTCACAACCCCTATGTACTCGAGGGCGTGTCCAAGTAGGACCCCCTTTGGAGGGGTATGTATCTCTACTGAGTCGTCCCTTCCCGACCTTTTTCCATCTTCCCTTTCGTTGGCCATCTGAACGAACAGGGTGAGGATCATGAGTAGGTGTACGAGGAAGAGGAGGGTAATGAGTTGTGGGAGGAAGGAGAGGACGTGGCGAAGGAGGACGGGCAGGGTGGGGGGGCCCACAGGGGATGCGGCGACCCTGGCTGCCAGCAGGGGCTCGCGGCCGTTTTTTCGTGCTCTGCAGCCGTTCCTCCCCCCCCCTCCCTCCCGCCCCACCCTCCCCACCCCGGTGTCCCTGCGGGCCCTCCGTGCACTGCCCCCCTCCCCCACCTCGGCGACTGGCGGCGGCGGCCATGGAGCCCGCGGCGCCAGCTGCCGCCGACCTGCCCGCGCTGGCCGCGCTCCTGGGCAGCCCGGCGCAGCTCGCCTGCTGCTTCCTGCGGCGCGGCACCGGCACGCCGGACTTCGCGGCCGCGGCGGAGGCCGTGGCCCAGGCGGCGCGCCGCGGGCCACCGCCGCAGCGCGCCGTGGCCGCGGGCGCCGTGATGGAGGCGCTGTCGGCGGCGCTGGCGCTCGCGGCCCCGCGGCCGGGCGTCTGCCGGGCGGGCGGGCGGGCGGGGGCGCCGGCGGCGGCAGCGGCGGCAGCGGCGGCAGCGGCAGCGGCGGCGGCGGCGGCGGCAGCGGCGGCGGCGGCCGCAGAGGCAGGTGGCGGCGGAAGCGGCAGACGGGCGTCGTGACAGAGATGGCGTGGCGGCGGGATCGCTGGGCCACTGGGGCGCCCCCCCCGTGGCGCTTTTCGAGCCCCTGGGGCCATCCAATAGCGGCCCGCGACGAGAGCCTGGTCCTGGGCGTGGGGTCGAAACCCACGGCGTGGACGGCGTGGGGCCGATCGAAGCCCGATTGCCACCTTCGTTCCCCCAGCCCGCTTGGAGTGAGATTGAGGACAATTCCCCCGATCCGAGATCCCCGTGAGCCTACTGGGGGGCGCAGGGTTCCCAGATTGGTTCTGATCGGCGAACGGTTTTTTGGGGCGGGGTTTCCATTTTTATCTGCCAAGCCGTGTACCCACGCCGATCCTGGCCAGGCCAATCGTGGGCCCGATCGGTGCCGACATGTAGTTGGCGTCCGCCTGCATGCGACACCTGCTCAGGCGCAGGCGCTCCAGGAGTGCACCGGTGCACGCGCCAGAGCACGGGCGGCGTGTGCTCGGCGCGGCGAGGCGTCGCTGGAACCTTCACCGTCTTCCAGTGCCTCCAGCTCGGCAGGCATGGAGGCCGACGCCTCTATGGAAGGCAAGTCGGACACCGATGTGGACGAGCTCGGCGACGACGGGGGTCTCGACTGCTTCGAGGTGCACTGGCAGTGCCCTAGCTGCGGGCTGTGGAATCCCAGCGGGCAACGGCAGTGCAGGAGGTGCCCCGCGCTGAACCCAGACGCGAGGGAAGTATGCGAGGACGTAGAAATGGAGAACGTGGGAGCCGACGACGCCCTGCAAGGCCTCCCTGCCTCCTGGTTGCTGGTTGCCCTGGCCGCCGCGCTACCCCTGCTGGAGGGTGCGCTGCCGAGAGACGCGGACGGCACGTCCGTGCTGCCTCACCAGCACAGCATGGACATGGTGGAGGCTGACAAGGAGAATCTGCCGATGCGCTTCATGGGCGTCAGCACCGTGTTCTGCACGAACAAGGTTTGCGACCGGTGCATGGAGCAGATCACGGAGCGCGTGTTTTACCACTGCAGCGAGGACTGCGACGTCGACTTCTGCAGCACCTGCCACGACGAGCTGCAGGCGAGCCTCGCCCACTTCGGCCGCGCAGGCAGCGCCGCCGCACCAGCAGAACACCAGGTCCAGTTGCAGCTCGCGATGCGCCGGATGCTGTGGGCCGTCTACGTCGTGGACGAGCTCTCGAGACTCTTGCTGCTGCAGGGTGCCTCGGAGCGTGCAGAGCTTGCCGAGCTCCTGGCGTTCGAGTGGCCGCTGGATCTCTTCTCGAGGCTCGTGCAGGCCGTTGTGGACGTCTGCAACGGCAAGATGCTGTACAACTGTAACCAGGGCGCTATCTCGACGCCGGTGGTCCGCAACGAGTCGGCGGGGCCAAACGGCACTCCCCAGGCACGCTACGACCAGCTGCCGATGAGGCCAATTTATGCCGACAAGCGGTTCTGGTGCTCGGTCGGTCTCTTGGAGTTCCTCTACGCGTGCAACGGCCTGAGCGACAGGCAGCTGCTGGACGGCCATGGCACCCGGGGGCCCAGGATCCCCTACAAGGACTTCGTCCTGCAGGGGATTAACAAGTGCAAGCCCGAGGTCGAGTGGCGGAAGTGGTGCCAGTACTCCCAGGCGGAGGGCCTGGACGTGCTGCGGGCACCAGAGGTCCGCGTCTCGCCCCCGTTCAGAACCCTGCTGGCGCACAGCAACTTCCTGCCGATCTCCTTCCGCAGGTCAGGATGCAACTCCTCGGAGGTTAAATTCAGCATCGGCGCTGGCATATCCGCGGTAACTGGCCTCATCTGGCATGACTGCATCTAATCCGGTTCAATCCTGCCTACGTCGGCCCCTGAATCGGGTTGAATGGCCCCTAGTCGTCCTTACGAAGGCCTCCCAGGACTTGCCTCCTAACGCAGGGAGTGCCTGCTGTACGACCTGTGGGGGCAGATCCGGCGTGGTGGCAGCGCGGAGCCGCCCCCGCTGCGGCTGCGAGTGGAGCGCGAGCCCGCTCCTCTGGTGGAGGCAGTCATCGAGGCCTACATTCGGGGGTTGCTGAAGGTGCTCCTGGCCCAAGGTGCCCCCAGCTTTTTCACATCATTTTGGAGACCCTGGGGCCCTCTGTGCTTTGTCGGGGCTGTCCTGGAGGCCGTGGGTCCTCCTTGGAAGTCCCAAGGGCACCCTGGGCCATGGACACTTCTGGGAATGCCCGGTGCATGGGCTGCTGTCCCAAGCATTCTGGCGGCCAGGAAGCGCCGGTGCCCGAGGAGTGGTGGTTGCGCGTGGGGCGCGCGCCGGAGCAGCTGCGCAGGCGCCTGGACGTGGCCTTCGGCGCGGAGGAGGGGAGAGGCCCAGGGGTCCGTCGCGAGTTCTTCCAGGTTGCAGTGCGCGCGTTCCTGGCGTCGTTTTTCGTCCCCACGGAGCGCACCCGGACCTACTGGTTCAGCGACGTGGACAGGCCAGAGGGGTACTTCGCGCTGGGGGCGCTCCTGGGGCACGCGGTGTTGCACGACGTGCTCATACCGAACGCCTTCCCCTCCACGCTGTTCGAGCTGCTGCTGCGGGACATCGGGTCGGCGAGCGCTACCAGAGCGCTCGGTCTCTCGGACCTTGCGGCGGCGTCGCCAGCGGAGGCCGACAGCTTGCGCTGCGTGCTCGACCACCAGGGAGCCGACATCGGAGCTCACTTCGGTGACCTCGGCTGGGAGCGCACGAACCGGCTGAGGGGGGAGGCCTTGAGCCAGGCGACCAAGGATCGGCGGCGCGCCAAGGGGGGGCAGGCAGAGGGGGCGGGCCTTCTCAGAAGGCTCGGGAGCCCCTTTGGCCTTCCGCGCAGCTTTCCGAACCTTCTCCGAAGCCGCAGTGGGCTTCTCCGAAGGCCGGAGGTCGTCTCCGAAGCTTCGCCGCCTGCTGAGAAGACCTGCCCCCTCTCACTTCCCCCCAGGGCGCGCCGCCGCAAGGAGCTCTTTGTGAGCGTGTACATAGACTGGAGCCTCGGCGAGAAGATCGCACGGCAGTTCGGACCCCTCAGCGCGGGATTCCGCGCCGTGCTCGGGTCCTCCGTGATGGTGCAGCGGATGGTGGACGCCCCCCAATTGGAGCGCATCGTCTGCGGTGGCGAGGCCGGGGCTTGGGGTCGGGGGAGAGACCGCCGCCGTTGGTGAGGTCCTGCCTGTTTCTCCCTCTTCCCAACGCTCCCATTGCTCCCATCCATCTGGCAAAGCCTTTCCCAGACACTTCGCCCTCTGGCTCAAGGGCTATCTTGCCTTCTCGTGAAAAAAAGCTCCTGCCAGATTTTCATGATAGCGAGGCGTGTGGGTCGCTCCACGGGTCCCAGAGTAAATTTGGCAGTGGCGGCCGCTGCGGCGACCCCCGTGGACCCTGGCAACAACGACCCAGGTACAATCTAGGCACACATCTGCGGAGCTGTGCAACGCCGGTTACGAGAACAGAGATTCCAGGTACGTTACCATTCCCTGTAAAGTCAACCACGAGGGGATGAGGTTGTTCTTCGAACGCAGCGCCACGCTTGGTACCCGAACGTTTGACGACGATGAGGCATTCACGAGGTTGCAGATGATCTACAATATGCATGCTCCTCAGATACCGGTCATCAACCAGAATGCGTACTGCGAGGAACAGTTCAACATCTCGAAGGAACACGTTCGGACAGAACCCCAATGTCAAACGAAGGCCTCGGAGCATGTGACCCAGATCGCCGACGCTATACAGTGCGCTGGAGACACGAGGGCCAGAGGAGTTGGGAACAATCCAGCTAGCGAGCCATCAAAGATGTTATCGGGTGGCCGGGCCATTTTCGAGGATTGGAGCGAGAAGCTATTGAACCCGCCCGCTCAATTTAAACACTCTTATCGGACATCTTTCAAATATTTGAACAATGAACTCGAAACACGGATGGGGCGTTACGCGATCACGAAGAGGGCGTGTGGATGCATATCTACGAACGGAATGTTAACCTTGAACGAATATCCCGAAGCGGCACACACCAAACAACAGGAAAGCGATGCCAAAAGAGTAAATGAGACCGATGAAGATGATGACGCGAAGTTTGAGGAGGCCCTCTGGTATGTGCTAGGTGACAATTTGGAAGGGACGGAACCACGAGGAACGCTCCAGGGTTTGCACGACGGAGACGGCTTAATGGCTTACCGGAAGGTAGATAGATCGTATTCGGCCGTCACAGGAGTCACGCTGTCACGCAAACGCCTGGAAACAAACAGCCTGGCGAAGGACCCAGCCCCCCAGCCATATGCAGCTGCGAACGTAGGCAGCACGCCGCGAGAGGGATGCAACACGGGGCAACGCGGATGGGCACCCCGAGACGTGTGCGAGGTGTGCCGAAGTGGGCTTGGGGACGCATGCGGGCGCTGCCACTGGGGCCGTCGGTGGAGCCCCCTATGGGGCCACGAAACGTGTGAGGGGTGTGTCAACATAGGCAGGGAAAGGCATACGAACCCTGCCACTGGGGCCTTCGGTGGAGCTCTATAGGTGGCCGCGAGGCGTGTGAGGGGTTTGCCGACATTGAGGCGACGCTGCCATGCGAACCTTGCCGCTGAGGCCTGCGGTGGAGCTCCATATGGGGCCACGAAGCGAATGAGGGGTGTGCCGACATGGGGCGGGGCCGCCAGGCGAACCCTGCCATTGCGGCCTTCGGTGGGGCTCCGTATGAGACAACGAAACGTGGATGTGTGTGTGTGTGTGCCAAAATGGGGCGGGGCCGCCATGCGAACCCTGCCTTTGGGGCCTGTGGTGGGGCTCTTTATGTGGCCGCGAAGCGTGTGAGGGGTGTGCCGAAATGAGAGCAGGGACGCCATGCGAACCTTGCCACTGAGGCCTCCGGTGGAGTTCCCTACGGGGCCACGAAACGTGCGAGCGGTGTGCTGAAATGGGGCGGGGCCGCCATGCGAACCTTACCGCTGGGGCCTTCGATGGAGCTCCCTATGGGGCCACGAAGCGTGTGAGGGGTGTGCCGACATGGGGCGGGGCCGCCAGACGAACCCTGTCAATGGGGCCTTCGGTGGAGCTCCCTATGGGGCCACGAAGCGTGTGAGGGGTGTGCCGAAATGGGGCGGGGCCGCCATGCGAACCCTGCCAGTCCGGCCTTCGGTGGAGCTCTAGATGGGGCCGCGAGGCGTGTGAGGGGTTTGCCGAAATTGAAGCGACGCCGCCATGCGAACCCTGCCGCTGACGCCTGCGGTGGAGTTTCCTATGGGGCCACGATACGTGTGAGGGGTGTGCCGACATGGGGCGGGGCCCCCATGCGAACCCTGCCAGTGCGGCATTCGGTGGGGCTCCCTATGGGGCCACGAAGCGTGTCAGGGGTGTGCGGGAATGGGGCGGGGCTGCCATGCGAACCCTGCCTTTGGGGCTTTCGGTGGAGCTCCCACTGGGGCCACGAAGCGTGTGAGGGGTGTGTCGGAGTGGGGCGGGACGCCATGCCAACGTTGTCATTGGGGCCCCCGGTGGATCTCCCTATGTGGCCACGAAGCGTGTGAGGGATGTACGGAAACAGAGACATGCGGAGGGCAGAGGCACAGAGGCGGAGGAGGGAGGAGGGGGAGGATGAGAGGAGGAAGGAAAGACCGCGGGGCGCTGTCTCTTCAGAGCGAAGGCCCAACACCACAGGACTGTTGGAAAAAAAAACAAGAATGTTGACGACGTGGTGGCCCAAGTTGAAAAGAGGAATGCGTTCGTAGAGTGCCCCGAAAAGTACGGGAATGCATGCTCGTTGCCTTTGTCGTTAGGGTTGCTGTTTTGAATATCACTATGGCCCACGCAGGTGATTGGTTTGTCGATTGGCAGCAGGACTGCTTCAAGACGCCAGAATGCTTAAACATTGACACCTACCAGAAACTTTTCGTCAAGTGTGAGGATTGGGCCAGGCAGCACTGACTCCATGGAGATCAGTCAAGTTAGCGATGAAGACGTTTGGGGGTGGGGCACGAACGTGAACGAGTCCGGTCATTAATTATGGTGAAAGTGGAATCTGGAGGACTTGGAATGGAGGAGAAACCACGCGTGGAAAGGGCAACGCGAACGAAGGTAGCATCCATATTGCCACCGAGCGCGGGCGGCGCGCCCTGCGGTCGGGCTGCATGCGTCGCGCGTCGCACGCGCCGCGGGTCCGCGGGGCCCGTCGGCCGACCTGCGATTTGTGCCCGCGCAGCACCCTGCAGGTGTGTGCGCCCCCCACAAATCTCGGCGGACCGACCTCGTGTACCCGACCTCGGGCGCAACGCCCCAACGATGGGTGCGGCGACCGAGCCAGGGCTGCCGTCTCGCTAATACCCCGCGTGGGGGGCGCAGGCGGTGGCGCGCGCTGTCCCCGACCAGGCCAGCCTGGGCGTTGAACCCCAACGCTGCCAGCGCCCAGGCCCGCCATGGTCGGGGCGCGCCAGGCCTGCCGCGACCCAATGGAACCACGGGTGCAGGACGCAGCGCGCGCCGAGAGTGCGCCTGTTCGAATTACCCCGCAGGCACCGTTGCAGACCCTGGTCTGCGCCCTGCCCTGGGGCTAGGGCATGGAGCGGCGGCCGCCGCTTCGGCGGTCGCGTCGCCCTCGTGCTGGCGCATATCAAGATCTTCTTTGAAAGCGCGGGAACTCCAATCGGCGCCGCGGAGAATTTCACAGAGGCGGCCGTTTCACCTGCGCTTCGTCTCTGCGTGTCCGCGGCGGAACGCTTTGCTCGTAAAGGATGCCGCGCTTGGCGCCCCGGCGTGCAACGCCGCCGCCTTCGTCGCGCGCTGCGCAGGCGCGACGATTGAGACGACCCCGTTGCTGTCGACACGCCGCAGATGCGGGGGCGCGGGCGAGCCGACGCAAATGCTTTCGAAAAATGCCTGCGCCGCGTGCACAATGCACGTCGCTTGCGAGTGTGCGCACCAGCACTTCCGCACCGCGACTGTCGGGCCGTCCCGGTGCTTACGCCGTGGGAAATGCAGCGTCGCCGAATCGCCCGACCCTTGCCCTAGGCCTAGGCAGGTCCAGCTCTGAGAAGGCGAAATCCTTTAACGCCAATAGGTCGCCTCGCTCAATCAAGAGGGCCTCGGAGGGCACACGCAAAGCGACCCCCCGGGACATCGAGAAAAGCGCACGCAGGGCGCTGTCCGTGCTCGCGAAGTCGAGCATCGCCGGTAAATTCGACAGCAGCGCGAAAGGCTTCGGCGGCCGTCTCACAGGGCGCCGCTTCCCGATGGCCTTACGGGCACCCCTGGCCAATGGATGCGCGAAGACAGACGCGCCCCGGCCCAGCAGCTGGCAAGCCTTCTTAAGCTGCGCCACGCAATTGCCGAAGGTGCGCGGGCTACGAAACTCGAGCGCGAACGGGCGCACTTCGTCGGCCGACGGCGGCAGCGCGCTGCAGCCGTCTCTGTTGAGCCGACGCCACGCGAAAGCCATCCACGCCCCGACCGCTGCCCTCCAGGAACCGAAAGAGCGCGGCGCCGATCCAGCGATTGCCACCGCTCGCGCGCGGGCCAGACTTGCCTGGATGGCCGCCGGCGGCGGGGCCCCGCGATCGCCGCGCGCGATGGACTTGCGCGGGCCGCCCATGGGCGCGGGTGACAATTGCGCGGCGCGGGCGGCACTGTAAGCGCTCGCAAGCTCACGCCTCGCTGCGCTGTCGCCCGCAGCACCCGGCGCGAGCACGCCTGGGCTTCCGCGCTGGTACTGATTATGAAAAATTGGCATTGCGCGGGACGGCGCCGGTGGCTGTCCGCGAGGCGGTCACGGGCCCCCCGCCGCGAGGCCTGGCGGCGGCGGGCCTGGCGGCGGCCGCGGCTGACGCGCCGCGATGTCCCGCAACCGCGCCTGGGCGGTTGCGGGGGCGCCTGCGAAACCATTCACGCGTTCCCAAACCGCGCCTCTCACGTCGGCGACTTGCTCGAAGCCGTTGGCGATTAGCAACTTCGCGATGCGCAGCGCGACGGTGCTGTAGCCTGCGCGCGCTGGCGTAGCTCGGGCGGGGCCCGCGCAAGGCGGGGGCGCCTGGCGCGCCAGCCTTAACCGGGCCCTGCGCCGAGCCCTCGGCACCAGCGGAACACGCAGACATGCCAACCACAAGCGGCGAAGCGAATGCGAACACGTAGCGCCGCCCCGCGCCATGCGCGGGTTGCGCCCGCGCCTGCTGCTGCGCGCGGCGAACGACAGAAGCGCGGCCACCGTCGGCCGCCCAAGGCGGCAGCGGGGTGGGCTGGGCCAGAGGCGAGGCGCGCACAACGCGCTGCCCCTCTCGCGGCGGCCCAAGTTGAATAGAGGAATGCGTTCGTAGAGTGCCCCGTTAAGTACGGGAATGCTCACTCGTTACCTTCGCCGTTAGGGTTGATGTTTTGAGTATCACTATGGCCCGCGCAGGCGATTGGTTTTACGATTGGCAGCAGGGCGGCTTCAAGACGCCAGAATGGTTCAACATGGACCCCTACCAGAACCCGTTCGTCAAGTGTGAGGATTGGGCCAGGCAGCAATGACTCCATGGAGATCGGTCAAGTTAGCGATGAAGACGTTTTGGGGGGGAGGCACGACCGTGAACGAGTCCGGCCATTATGGTGAAAGTGGAATCTGGGGGACTTGGAATGGAGGGGGAACCACGCCTGGAAACGGCAGCGCGAACGAAGGTGGCATCCATATTGCCGCAGTTGTCGCCACCAGAGGAAATACCAAAGGAACAGGAGGTGGAAAAAGGGAATACAAAAGGCGCCAAAGGTTGCCAAGGAGCGCAGGTGTGGCGATGCAACGGAGGGCGTTTGCGTACAATGGGTGGCCCGGGGGGGTACGTCAAACGAGGTTTCGCAGGGGGTCTCTCAGGAAGTCAGCAACGGAATCGAGCTCCAGGATAGACAGGAGGATGTCAGGGAGGGCTTGCGCCGATCAGTGAACGGGGGCGCTGCGCATGTGGCGAAAAAAAGGTCTCATCGCAACGCGTTGCACCAGGAATGCCAACGAGGTCGCCCCAGGTCAAGGGGGGGCAGGACGCGCGGAACGGCCCGCGCAGGTGTTAGCGGAACCCCTGCCGGGGTGGGATGATATGGTGTCGACATGGGCGCGCGCATTGATGCCGGTTGATTTATCCGCGACGTCGCGGCACCGGAGCCAGTTACGGGGGCGCAGTTGCGGAGGGCGCAGCACCGAGAAGCACGAAGGAGGAACGGGAACAGGGGGGCGAGGGTA